CCAACCAGTTATTAGGTTTAGGGGGCAATCACTTTTTCACACAGGGCCATGTAGGTTTGGATTTTTTTTCCCCCTTAATAATAAAAACCTTCATTTAAAAACTGCATTTTGTGTTTACTTGTGTTATCTTTGTCTAATATTTAAATTAGTTTGATGATCTGAAACATTTAAGTGTGACAAACATGCAAAAAAATAAGAAATCAGGAAGGGGGCAAACACTTTTTCACACAACTGTGTATCATTTACTTCATGGTGCATCTTGCAGTGATGTTCAGATGTACTGTGGATGATACTACATGTACGTATGAGATCACTACATGACGCAGTAAGTGTGTATTAGTGAACATCTGCGGAGCTGAAATGTGTCTCGTTAAATTGACAATTCATCTCTCTACATAGTGTTTGTAACTCAGTAATTGTTTATGGACCAATTAAATCTGCGTTACATTGTCCAACACTTGTTTAGATGCAACATGATACTCATTAATAGTATTTCACATCATTGTTTCTGGTAGCGCCCACAGACAACTTAATGGGCAACAATTTCATAATCCACCATTTAATTCATTGTTTTAGCAAAACAAATGCTGCAGATCATCGGAGTCTATTTGAACTGTTTTCTATTACATTAACTGAGTAGATTTTAGAGTTTGGTTGGCTAGAAAAACAAGGTCCTGTTTTAGAATCACATGAAGGCTTTTTCTGCTCGTTGCATCTTTAATGTTGAGGAGCATCACTGAGCATGTGCGAACAGAGAGCTCTCAATGCACCGCCCAGCAGGATGTAATAGCATGTACAGCTGTGCATTGAGTGGCGAGGTAGCAGCTTGAAATGTGTAAGTGTGATGCTGCACACACAGGTGAGGCAGAGAGGCTGGTGAGCAGCTGGGGGGGGGGGGGGGGGGGGGGGGGGGGGGGGGGGGGGTCTACCTGGTAGAGACAGTGGCAGACACTGCGGAGCTGTGGGGGGAACTCGTTGGACGAATTGATGATGGCCTGGAAGAACCGCTCGGTGATCTGCAGCAGGTTCCTCTGGTTCTCCTCCAGGTTCTCACCTTGTTCCAGCCTGATGGGACAAACAGGGAACCGACAGATTGATGTTTTGTTCTTTATTATACTCCGACAGAACAGCTGAGCTACAATCAATAGAAACCTCGTCAACACAACATTTGAATGGCATGAGAGCGATGGCGCTGATACCTCAGTGCACCTTACGCTGACAGATTCCACCACCTCCACTGGTCCTTATTCTGTTCTCCATATTGTTAGAACAATACAGTCAGAACTGGGCCTTGGAGGTCAATTTCAAGAAATCCCAAATCAAACAAAACCGATACGACACAAAGAATTATACTTACCTCGGTCTGATCATATCTGCATCAGGACATAAATTCACTCAAACAGAGATCGTCCAGGACAACGAGCGCATTAAAAACAGACGACCAGAAGATCCACTAAATAAGGGACGTACATGGTGTTAAGAGGTTTTATTAAGCTGCAGAGAGAGAGAGAGAGAGATAGCTGAGCAGAGGTTGTCCTCCACCTACAGCACCTCTGTGCTGCCATCTGCTTACAGGTCTAGAAACCTGCACCCTAACATCGATGTATAGTGACCTGCAAAACTCTACCTGGACAGAAGCTAAATAAACTCAAACTTTCCACCGTTTCTACAATCAGCAGCTCTGGTTTGGTTAAAATAAATGCTTAATTCAAAGAGTTAAATGTGTAAATAGTCTGTTTTTCACTCTGCTGTCTCTCTCTTCGTCTGGCTTCCTGTTGATCAGCTGATCTCACTTCTTCTTCAGAGGAAGACTATTAAATTAGAAAAGAAAGAGACTTCCCTCGCTGACATTTATCACATCACAATGATTCTGTTTCCGTTCACATCGGAGGATCATTTGAACTAAAGGCTCCACCAGACGCTGTCTGATGTCTGCATGTGTCCTCATCGAGAACATCCTCTCTACTCATATCTTATGACGACATGTTTCGCTGTTGGGAATGTAATGCAAGCGTTGAGAACAAAGAGGTTTTTGGACAGCATTGTGTCGCACAGCTACCAAAGCTGAAGTAGCACTCTGTCGACAGATGGAGCCCCAGAGAACATCTGTAACACCTGCAGGCGTCTCTCACGATACATCCTAACGCTGATGCTTTTAATGAGGGCAGAGACTCAGGTACTCACCTGGTGGGGTCCACCTCAAAGCTGATGTGTTCAGGGGTTGTGATGACGCCTCTTAATAAAGGCTCCAGTAGCTTCTGCAGGTACGCTGCTCCATACACCTGACACATGAAATACAGTCAATACACACACAAACAACCTGTCCTATCAGGCAGAAGTTTTAGGTCAGAAAACAAGGATTTTAAAAGTTATTTGCTTGTTGTCTTGCTGATAGACCTGACTAAGCATGAATTCTGACATCATTACTATGTGGTTATTTCTGCATCCCTTTCTATCTGTTTATTGTGATTAAATCACAGCTGAATAGTTTATTTGGTGTTCATACAGCTGTAGTAAACAGCTGACGTGAGTCTTGTTAGACACAGTGAATAAACCTCCTGATGATGTGATGAACCAGACAGGACGGTGTTTAGTTTCCCGTGATGTCTGAGACTTATACAACATGTAAAAGCAGCTGTAGAGGTTATTTCAGACGTGATTGATGAAACGTCGTCTACATGGAGGTAAAGACTCGCTCCTCTCTGGCTCGTCGAGTGCGAGTGATGCAGATAAAACACAAATGATCCGGAGATCATGATCCGGAGATCAAACTCCGGTTAGTAACGGTAAACGTCAGCGTGGTTCGGTGTGAACACAGCATCACTCTCACAGCAGGAACCGGTGTGCGTTTCCTACCTTGAAACAGAAGGTCATTATCTTGCTGGCCAGGCTGTTTCCTCTGAAGAGCGTCTGCATGGAGTCGGCCAGCTCCACCTCCTTAGAGAACATGTTCCACAGCAGCTGGTAGAGGAGGTGACGCGAGTCAAACAGCGTCACCAGGACCCGGGCCAGCTCGTCCTGCAAACACAACAAACACGTGAACTCGCTGCTGGAGCAACATAATAACAACATGTTAGACTTTTTTATTACACATGCATGCAGTCTAAAATACTTCCAGTTTAACATCACAGTGTAGATAAATGGTAACGGTATCTAAGTTTAAACAGAACGCTTTGAAACCAGTCCTTAAGTCGAGAGGCGGTAACACACCCACTGGGACCCCGGCACCACATTAGCCAGCGCCATGGCTATGGGCAGCTCCCCCTGGTCCCCCATCATGGTGACCAGCTCCACCAGCCTCTCGAAGCGGTCGGCCAGAACCGTCTCGGCCAGCGTGTCGAACTCCGTGCCCTGCTGCAGGATCTTGGTCAGCACCTCCATGAAGGTGGCTCGGGTCTGCAGGTCCTTGTGGTAGCCGAGACCTGCAGGAGGAGGAGGAGAAGCTTCTATGTAGAAATAAATAAAAAAGCAATAAGCAGGAAACACTGTGGGACGACTTACCGATGGAGTGCATGAGGCCGCTGTCCACGTTGGCGTTGAGCAGGTTGGACATGGCCAGGACGGTGCAGTGGCGGAGGGACGCCAGGCGGCGGGACATCCCTCTCTTTCGCCCCCCCACTGCCTGGCCCTCGTCCTCCACCTCGCTGCAGTCGTTCAGCAGGTTCATGAACAGCGTGAAGTACCTGAACGCCACACACACAAACAACATCAGAGAAAGAGAGTTCAGAGGACCAATCAGTGTTTCATCTGCATATATTTAAATGCTTTGATTTGAGGCGGGACTTCAGACGTTCGGGTTTCACTACTGCGACCAACACGATCACATATGCTGTCGTTTTTTGTGAGTTAAGATGTTACGGTAATGCGTTCATGCTCGTGCATGATGATCAGTATGAAGCCGTCTTTTCCATCGCTGCCTCCAAAGAGAGAGAGACTTTAAAATGTCACATGAGCGAACGTAGCGGCGGAAAACTTAACACAACGATCCAATTAGCTGTTACTGCGTTCCAAAAACTAAGCATTGTACAGCAGATTTTGTGTGATTTTATTTCTATTTGGAACAGGCAATAGTACATAAATCCCCTTTCCAGATTATTAAATGTTAGCTCTGTCAGCTCTGTCAGCTCTGTTAGCTCTGTCCTCGCTGTTAGCTCTGTTAGCTCTGTTAGCTCTGTTAGCTCCGTCAGCTCCGTCAGCTGAGGATGAGCTTCTTCTTGAAATGTCTTTAAATTCATGATCAGGTGAGGAGGATGACAGCAGTCGTGTTCTTACTTGAGGAAGAGCTGAGATTTGGCCTCCATCAGTTCTACTCCGTCACCCTCCTCCGGCTGAAGAGGGAGACCAGCTAACAGAGAAACCACCGCCTCCATGCTGGCCTGGTCCAGGTCTCTGGAAAGCAACACAGAGCGAAAACAGTGAGGAGGGAGCTCTCTCTGGTCCTCACTGAGCTTTAGAAGACTTCATGAAGCAGAGCTGCACCTCGTCAGACACTTGATGTCGTCATCAGCAGCTTGGTTGGAGGTTCCCATCACCCAGTCGGTCAGATACTCCACCATCTTGTTCCTGCAAACAAAGTATAAATACATCATTCGTGTTTCTAGTCTCTGATCTCTGATCATGTTTCATTGTAAACAACCAATCAGTGTTTAAACCAACAGGAGGAGAGCTAGTAATGTTAGCAGCACCGCTAACAGCTAACCAACAGGAGGCGAGCTAGTAACGTTAGCAGCACCGCTAACGGCTAACCAACAGGAGGAGAGCTAGTGATGTTAGCAGCAATGTTAACTGCTAACCAACGGGACGATTTTTTTGGGACAAACAAATAAATATTGTGGATCCTTGTAGACCAGCTGCTATAATCAAACAACAAAGGGATCTGTATCTGTTAATAATGACCATCAATGATCGGGTATTAGTATCAATGGCAAAAAACCTTGAACAGAGATCTAAAAGTTATATTTGCTCCTTTTGACTTTCCTGCTGATCTGATCTGTAGAAGCTCAACCAGTGAAGTGTAGTACAGTGAGATGTGGTAACTGGCGTAAAGTCGTGATGCGTGTTGACCTTTAACCCCACTGACCTGAACTTCATCTCCTGGCAGAAGGACAGGTCGTCTCGTCTCTCCATCATCACTTCCACCAGCTGACACAGCTTGGTCTTGATCTGGATGGCGTGGACCGCATTGCCCAGGATACGCACATACCTGAGAGACGGAGAAGATAATAACCAATAAACTACGATCCATCTTTAAGTCACAATACAATGAATAAATAGCTGTTTTCATTGTGTTGATGGTCTCGTCTTTGGAGACCGAAACCTCTGAACCTAAAATGAACCGATTAGACTCAGGTCTTCAGAACACCTGAGCACAAAAAGTGTGAGGAACCTGTTATCCAAGTATTTATTATCATAATTATTTTAATCATTATAATTGTGCTATAATTGTTAGGGCCACTTGTAACTAATCCAACACTTTGTAAAAAAACATTTATTTATTTAATTATGCTTCAGCATTTCTTTCTTTCTTTAATTAACATTCCAAACTATTCGGGCTGTTATTATTTTTACAATGCGTCAGGAACAGTTCTATTGTGTTAAAAATGGAAAAAATAAAAAGTTTTAAAAAACAAATAACTAAATAATAATAATTCTGCTGTGCTCGTAGAAGCAGATCCAAAGTGAGAAAATCAAGAGAAGTTTTGGGGCCGAACACACGAATCAAGTTCAAGCTTTAAGTTCTCAAGAGAGAAGTAGAGTCATTTTCTCATAGACTTCTGTACAATCAGAGGAGTCACCCCCTGGTGGACACTAGAGAGAATGCAGCTTTAACACATGAAGCTCTGACTTCACTGGGTTTATCTTCACTCTGATGACTCAGAGACGACCTCCTGCAGCAGGAAGTACGTACCTGACCAGGTTGAGCATCATGGTCTCGATGCTGGCCTGTCCCAGGTGCTCTGAGCTGCCCTCCGTGTGGTTATCTAACAGGTTCTTCATGATGGCGATGGTCTGCTCCACAAACTGGGTGTTAGTGTCGTTGATGGGAACCTGAGAACAGGAGAACAGCTGAGTACAGAACCACAACCGGGGCTTGTATCAAGACTGGCAGATGAGGCTAATATTTCCCACCAGCAATGTCTTTATTTACTACACTCAATTTATTTTTATATTAATCAGGTACGAGCCAAACTATGAGTTTGAAGTATTGTTACGAGGGACAAATAAATATGGGAAACATCCCAAAAAGTCCTAAAATTATGAGTGAAGAAATTATGAAAATTATTGGTTATATAAATTATTTGAAAAATGTAATATATGTGAAAAGAAAAAGTGAAAAATGTCTGAAAAATATGTGAAAATGCAAAATAAATAGTCATCTGGACTCGTTTGGACAGAATTTAACATTTTTTACAGAATCTGTTTATTTGGGTTTCGGGGTTCAGAGGGTAAATGAATTGTCTTTTACTTCTCACTAAATAAAAGAACCAGTAACAGTATCGATCGGAGTCACGGCAGCACAGAGCTCCACTCACCGGTCCCTGCGTGTCGAAGAACTTGCCGATGCTGTTCCTCAGCTTGTTGAAGAGCATCGGGTAGAGCGCCGGGCTCAGCTCCAGACCCAGCAGGTCCTTCACGTTGGTGCGGACGTGGAGGCCGACCCGGTCGTGTCCGCACACCAGCAGGGCCAGCAGCCGGTCCAGGAAGCGGCTGACGGGCGTCTCGCTGGAGGCCGACGAGGAGCAGGACGACGACGAGGAGGCCACGGGGTTGGACATGTCGCAGGGTCCCATGGAGATCATGGAGTGTTTGCGCTCGCTCATGGGGCCCATAGGGGGGCTGTAGGTGGCCGGGCCGGGGGTGCTGCGCTGCTGGAGGCAAACGCCGCCCAGAGCACACAGGAAGCCGGTCATGTTGATCCACTCCTGCAACAAAACACCAGTTAATACACATAACTACACAACAATATCAAAGGATGCAAACTGTGGAGTCAAACTAAAGCTTTGTTAACAGTCACGCTTTGCACTGAAGCTAATTATCTGTAAACTCATATCTCATAAACTACTTTAGTACCTTTCTGCAAACCCTGTAAAGAAACAAGTCAAGTATTAAATGTGTTAAGAAACAAAGGTTTAATATCCTGAAAACTATTTGATTTGGCTGATCAATATTTACTCAAATGTACATTTTTAAGACTTCCTGTTTCTAAAGCATCGAAATACTAATTGGTCGTCTAAAGCTTAATTTATATCACCTGCGAATGTTTGTAACTCAGTGTAGGCGATCGCGTTACGGTCACAACTAGTTCACTGATAACACTACTTACACATCTGGGGATTCAACAAAGAAGGTCAATTCATTTTAGATGCAAAGCTCAAGTATGAGCAAAGCTTTATTGGTCTCTGGGTGTTTTGCGGTTCTTTGAAGCATCGTATTACGTCACTCCGTCTCCTTCTCCATGACTTGTTACATTAATAATATCGGTCTGTGTGTGTCCCTCCCTTCCTCCGGTTCTCCTTTCCTCTCATCAGATAAAGCTCTTTTCCTGTCTGACACTCGTTTCTTAAGGTGCTCCAACAAAGTAAATCTTACAAATGAACGTACATTTCCTGCAGACACACGGGTTTTAGTGTCAGATCAAAGAAATCTGTCCGAGACTGCACTTCTCTGAGCCTCAGCTGCTAACGTCCTAGCTTAGCATCCCCGTCTGTCCGGTCGGTGTGTTTAAACAAAGCAAACATCAAACATTCCTTAAGTTTCTCCTAAATCAAACCAGGTCCATCTGAGCTTTGGTCATAACTCTCAGGTTCCTTCAGGAACAGGCTCACCTGTCCGTCTTCTGCCTTGTTTTTAGGGAAGTTGAGGATCTGTTTGGTGACCTGGTCCCATTTAGTATACGTGTCCTCCCAAGCCTGCAGGTGGACAGACGGACAATGAACCAGACATAGTGCAAAAACAGAGAACACCATGTTTATGTATTGAAGGTTGAGGGTTTGAATCTGAACTGAGTGTTACCTCGATGTTTCCTGGTGTGGGGTGCTCTATCCTCCGGAGCAAAGCCATCACCCGCTTCTGTAGGGTGGACCGGCCTGTGGAGCAAAACCAGGACTGTGAGTGGAAACTAACAAAACCAAGACTGTGAGTGGAAACTAACAAAACCAAGACTGTGAGTGGAAACTAACAAAACCAAGACTGTTAACGCAGTAAAATCACTGAATAATAACCCGTTTCACCAGAAGCTGCAGTGCTGAACAGTATTTAGTATCGTAGGTGAGAGTGGGACCAGACAGTACTGACCCGTTCCCATCATGTTGCTGACGGAGGCCAGTTCACTGAAGGTGGCGTAGTTGGGCAGGATGTTCTGGACCGGCACCTCGTCGGCGGCGCTGCGGATGTCAGCCTCCTCACAGAGGTGGCGGAAACACGACATAGACACCAGCACGGCCTCGGTTTCAGGGCTCCAGAGGAACATGTAGAGGGACACCTCCAGCTTGGTCTGAGCCTGGCGGCATATGGGGATGGCACCGCCCATGGTGGCACACTCCTGGAGCCAAAGAGGACCAGACACACACTTTACTTTTGCATAAACATATTCATCAATATATCCCTCCATAGGAGTGGAGAAAGGAAAGTAGTGGGAGAGAAGAGAACTCAGGAGGAAGTTTTATTCTATTAAAATAGTCTATAAAAGTTTTTCTCTTCCTGTTTGTTTCAGAGATAATTATTCGCGTGTTGATACGCTAACGAGCAGCGTGTTGATACGCTAACGAGCAGCCTGTCGCTACGCTAACGGAGCAGCCTGTCGCTACGCTAACAGAGCAGCCTGTCGCTACGCTAACGAGCAGCCGGTTGCTACGCTAACGGAGCAGCGTGAGCGTACCTTGTTCTTGAGCAGAAACTTGTTCCTGCAGATTAGTATCTCCCTCAGCCATTTCAGAACTTCTGTCCCGTTTATTATTTGCTGGCCGATCAGTTTGCGGCAGATAAGGAAGAGCACCTGTGAGCTGAGGAGACGAGCGAAGGAAGGAAGGAAGTTGTTATCGTGAAAAAGTTTAAAAACATCATAAATCATAAAGATTTGACTTTTTATTCACACAGTCAGGACATTTATTGTGGGAAAAAGGTTGTATTATTGTTAATAAAAATTTAAAATTACATTTTTAAGCTTTCAAATGCTCAATAATCATAAATATATGATGAACATGTCCATCTGTAGGGCGGTGATGGTGGAAGGAATAAGAGGTAAAGAACTGTACCGTTGAAACCCTTAAAAACATTTGGAACACCTAACTTATATAGACAGTAATTATATTCTAATTAATTTATGTTCTTTCCTTCATTTGTGTGTTTTCTGCAAATATCCACCATAGATGTCAATAACATTGAGAGGTTCTGAAGGTTGAAACCGTGCAGTTGTCGTACCAGAGCTCTAAAATTGATATACGGTGATATAAAGTTTAGGTCATACTGCCCAGCATGTGATTTATAACAAACACCAACTAGCACATTCATAGTGTTTGAAGATCTCACAGCTGTCCAGGTTGACAGAACACGTTAAATACGCATCAAAATCCAGTAAAAGTCCTGAAATATCAGGCTTCACCACCTGATACGCATCAGATATGTTACAGTGACTTCAGTCAGTCTTTACTTTAAACAGCACAGGATCAACAAACAATCACCTCCTGCCTTCAGTCCCAAATACTAAACATCTCAAGTTTAATGTGATGAAAACTGAATGTATAAGAAATACAAAGGGGCGGTTTGAGTACCTGATGTCCCAAAAGGTCTCTATGGGGGCGTCAGGGTTCCACAGCTCGATGGTCTCTGGCTGGTGCAGAACTAACAGAGCCTGGAACAGACAGAACCAGGACCAGGACACAGAAACAAGGGTTTGTAGTTTCATAGCAAAACAGAAGAAATGTTTGAAACTGCTTTTTAGTCTTTAAGAGTCTCAAGTTGTGTCTCCGTAAGGTCTCAAATAAAGAGAACCGGCCTGTTGTTGATCTTAGAGACAGACATTTATTAATAATGTTATAAGAGTATATGACATTACAGCTGCTTCTGTTTAAATGTGTCGTCTGTTGAATGAACCAACTCTTCCTCCATGTTTTATGCGTCTTCATTAGTTCATCAGTCACATCACACTTTTTTGATTTTTAAATATTTCACCACTTTTCCAACTCAAAACTTCCTGCACAAATGTTTCACATTAAAAGCACTCCAGACGTTCAAAGGGTATCATTTCTTCAATTCTTTCTCTTTATATTTTTTGTTAGTTTAAATGTCTGTATTTTGCCGTTTCCTACTGATGTGCAATTGTTGAATAAAGAAATAAAAATAATAATAATAATATCTTCTCCGATTCCTGTTGGGCTTTTACACTGAAACATCAGCAGGAAGCGATAAAAAGTATTTTTGTTGTTATACGTCCACTGACTTCACTACATGTTGTTCCTTAATGTCTGGAGACAACTTGTGTCCATAATGTTTACTGAACATCTGACCAGTAGGAATACAATGCATGAGGTGAAAAGTTGACTTTAAGTGAGAATCCTCTAAGTGAAGCGTTAGAAAGCAGAAGTGTGCGTCTGTGTCTGACCTCCATGGCTTCCTGTGAGAGCTGGGTGGTGTTGGTGAGAGGAACCAGCTGCACCAGGCCGGTGATGAGCTCCGCTGTGCTGCTCTGCATCTCTGGAGCCTGTTTCACTGGGTTCTAACACACAGAGACAACCCGTCATTCATTAACATGGACATGAAATATGTAGAGTACAAAGGAAGACCAGTGACTCACATGCAACATGAGTTTGGGGTCGGCGTGGATGAGTTTGACCAGAGCGAGGAGAAGGCACTTGTAGCTTCGAGTGTCCAGTTCTGTGGCTTTCTCTTTGAACTTAAGGCTGGTGGACATCTTCCCTTTGAACGTCGTCAGACTCTGAGGGAGGAAACACGAACATCAATACAGGAGCAACGGATCATAAAGACAACAGGGAGCAAGCAGAACTTCTAGAGATCCCCAGATCAAGATGTCGATATTATGTGTATGTTAAGTGCTTCAGTGTTATATGTGCTTGTCCTGTAGGTGGGTCTGTTCTGCGTGACGCATGCTGAAACCTGTTATGTCTGCTCTGCTTTAATGTCGTACACTTTTCTTTTGCTGTGTATTGGTTTTGTCTATACGTTGCTGTCTGTTTCTCTATGAATTTTAATTCCGTTTCAATTTGAGATTTTGTTACTTTAGGCTGCCTTGAAACATCTGGCCGGGGACAGCAGATGGAAATGAGCCTCTCTGTGAAATTAGCAGAATAAGCTGTTTGCCATTGGCAGAGAAGATTTGGCAAATCTTTCATGGGCGCAACCCACATACTCAGCTGTGCTGCTCATCCCACAAATGCATGATCCTTACAAATGGGGCACCGTTTGAAAGGGAAATAAACAGGCTTTCCAACGGTATAACATTTATTGCCAAGAAGCATCTTTACAATCGAGAAATAATCTACCAAACACTAATTTATAATTAGTTTATAGTTTATAATAAAGTCTGTCACTGTGTTCCTTGCTCTTAACTATTACTTTGTAATTTTAACTTATAAAATGCACAGAACTCCAGAAATAAGACCTCCTCCGTTTCAAATTCATCATAAAGTAACGCATGACTCTCACCGGGGTCAGGCGTAGAGGAGGGTGGGGGCCGGCGCCTTGGGTGACCCGGTTCAGGGTGTCCGAGAACATGAAGCGGAGCTCTCCGGAGTAGCAGTAGACCGCATCGATCTTAGGCCACCAGTCCAGATGAGACTGAGAGAAGACGACAGAAGAGTGAGACCAGAGAGGACACACGTCTCACTACAGTAGTTATAGTAGTGGAGTCACACTTCATTTACATTCTTCTTTGACAAGAGATGCTACATGATGAATAGATTTATAGAGAGACATGTATTTAACTTATTTAAAGAAGCAGTGTGTAACATTTAGGGGGATTATTAGTAGAAATATAAAATGTAGAACGATGTTTTCATGAGTGTATAATGACCAGAAACTAAGAACCGTTATGTTTTATTTAGCCTAGAAAAAGCCTTTTATATCTTCGTAGAGAGCGGCTCGTCTTCCACGGAGTCCGCCATGTTTCTACGGTAGCCCAGAGCGGACAAACTGGCTCTCGAGAGAGACGTTAACGTTTTTACGTTATCCTGAAGGTGGTGTTGGCGACCAAAACTCTGTATGAAACTGGCCCCGGTGCCAAATAATTAAAGATCAGACTATTGATGAGCTCTGACGCTACTGGTGCTACTATATATGTTTTTAAAAGTGTTGATGAGAGTAGCTCCTTGTAGTAATAAAATCCTAAATATAACTCTAGTGAGGGGGGGGGTATCACCACTAGAACTCACACTGTTCCTTTAATATGTAATAAGAATAACTTATGTCACCAGTTAATTAGGAATAAACTGTGAAACAACAAGATCATCTGTTTTGTTGTCTCTTCATGTTTATTACTGGATACTGGATATTGTTTAAGACACAATATTCTCTTGGATATCGGAGAGGATTGGATTCATTCAAAGGTAATGGATCTCGACAAACCAGCCGGACTCAACGCCACCAAAGAGCGGATCTGGTAGCTAAGCTAAACCAGCTAGGAGCTAAGGCTACTCCACTACCCAGCATGCTCCTGGCTGAGGTTTGGTTACAGAAACGTTGGGCTTACTGGTTGTGTAAAACAGGAGGAGGAGTTGTTTACGCTGTTTCTGACAAACAGCGTAAAAAGCAGCAATTTAAATTCCCTCATTAAAGCATCAAAGTGATTTTGATTAACGAGGTTGATTGTTTAATGATTTCTATTCAGAATGAAAATAGTGACGCCTCTATTAGTGTGTGAAGAAGCTCTCCAGACTCACGTTGGTGATGATTCTGTTCAGCGAGTTGACCAGGACAAAGTGGAAGGTGGAGGGGGAGGAGGAGGCCAGACAGACCTTCAAGGCAAAGAGGAAACACGGGTGAGAACTAATCAGAGCGACGGACACGAAGTCACAATCAACACAGTAACACTCGGAACCCCACAACCCACCGGAGGGTTTGAACAGCATACGTTTCATGAAACGATCGCCAAAACTACACCGTTCATCACGGCCAGAAGCTGTAGAACAAGTCATTATCGCCAGAGTTTCACCTTTCTGACGGACTTTGAACACATCATGTGTGATGAACGCTTCCGTCAGAGAAAACAGCCAAAACTAAGCTTTTCATTTGTGATATTTCATAAAAACATTTTATTCTTCATGTTCTCATTATAAATGTCTCCTCTAATAAAGAGTTCACTTTAACCAGGTTGTGTAGAAACATTAAACTGTGAAACTATGAAGTCATGATTGATTCATCTGAGACCAACAGTCATGTGACTACAAGGAGGAGACACTTTTTCTAACATCAGTAACACTTGTGGACACTTGTAAACATGTTGGATTGAAAGATTTATTGTTTTCCAATTTTTGTAAAATAAATTATCAAAGAAGTTCAACTTGTGTTTTCTTCTTCTTAACTGTGTTGTTCTGCAGTAAAGACATGTTCTAGTTCTCTCTACTTCTAGTCGTGATGGTTCAGGAACAGGACTTTTATTTTGAAGAGAAAAACGAGACACAGAGGAGTAAAATATGACGGCAGCAATAAAGACGGGTTTGTGTCGCTTCTCTTCACCTTAAAGTGCTGGTTGTTGTGAGGGTTGATGCGGAAACAGGAGACGAAACAGTCCATCATGAGCTCCACGTCAGCGTTCTGGCTGCCGGTGCCCCTCCAGAAGGGTTTGGATGGGTTGAACAGCAGAGCCTGGGGGGGGGGGGTCACTTCAGGTCAGTCAGGAGGCACATCGTCTCAAACACACTCGCAGAGAGGTACATTTTACCTTATATTGTTTAACATTACAGTGTTTTGAGGGAAGGCTGAACTGAAGTAAGACTAGCCTTAGCTATAAATGTTCTCGAATCATTCTCCTGGAGTCTCTAGAACATTAATATTTATCTGAAGGAATAAATACATGTCAATAAATCACTCTTTCAGTTTCTGAGCTTTCTGCGTCGTTTTTGCCTTTTTGATCTGAACTTCTTTTAATGTCAAACTTTCAGTTTCAACCAAACATGAGCAGAAAGAATAAGTGTGTGTGTGTGTCAGACCTTGAGGTCCATGACGATGGACTGGACCAGCAGGAAGATGGTGGAGTGGTCCTCCCAGTTGATGTAGGTGGAGGCTTTACACAGTTTAACGCAGGCGATGGCGGCGCTCTCCATCAGCTGTTTGCTGCCTCCTTGACCAGCGAGAGCCTTCCTCAAGCTGTCCAGAAACAGCTTCTACACACACACACACACATGGAAAGAAAAGAGTGTGTGAGAGTCTCTGCTCTGTGTGAGTGAGTTAGAGAGCAAATGAGTGAAAGAGCGAGAGAGTAGAAGTAGGGGTAGGAGAGAGTGGGTGAGAGAGTGTGTGTGTGTTGGCTCCTCCCACCTTGTTGGCCTTGCTGTCCTCCACAGTGTCTTTAGAGATAGTGTGTGTGATCTCAGGACAGAGGATGAGGAGGATGATCTGAAGAGGCCACACAGCAGCCTTCCTCTTGGCGCTCTCTGCGAAGCTATCGACCAGGTCGAACAACTTCTCTGCAGCTTCTGAACACACACACACACACACACACACACACACACACACACACACACACACACACACACACACACACACAGTCAGCTAAAGGAGGCGGGATCTATGTTTTCATACCTTTGAACTGGTACGAGGCAATATTTGGAAAAAGTTGAGCGTTAGTGGATTCTTAAAGGGTGATAAAATAATACTAGTTTGGAGCAGGAAGAAGCTGATTGATCAGCTTGATACTCATCCCCCACACAAAGTGTTGACCTGAACATCTACGTCAATGTAATAATATCTAAATGAAATGAATCTGAAACTGAAGAACTGGAAGTTTAACGTGCGTTTTACTTCTGTAAGCACCATCTTTGACGAACCTGAATTCTGTCCCTCTGAATGAAATCGTTAGTAGGAGAACATGCTGTGGTTCGATGTACGTTCTATTTATTCACAATAGGCGAAGCCGTTCTGTGGAATATGACTTTTCCTGTTACATTGTTACCATTCATGTTGGTGCATGGTTGGTAAGAAAGGATCCTGAAGTGCGTCTTCAGATCATGAATGGATTGTTAGCACCCTGATTATTTAGAAGAGAGAACGTTAGATAGATTCTCTTCATCTCCACCAGGAGAATCATGCAATCGATAGCGTGTCTGCGTTTATGCATCAGTCACATGAAACGTCAGAGTGAATAAAATGCATTTTCACAATTTGTCACTACCATTTGTAAAATCTGATGAAGTCAAATCAAAGTGGGAGTTGTGTTAAACGGTTAGAATCCGTTCCTACCCGCCATGTCTGCCTGTGGCCTCTGGTAGAGCATGGTGAACTCATCGGGGTAGTTCTCCACCCAGTTCCAAAACGCCTGTGGAGACAGAAAACAGAGTGGAAGTACAGCATCTACACAGCTGAAAATATAAATAAATTTAAAAAAAAAAATATATATATATATATACATATACACAGTTGTGTGAAAAAGTGTTTGCCCCCCTTCCTGATTTCTTATTTTTTTGCATGTTTGTCACACTTAAATGTTTCAGATCATCAAACAAATTTAAATATTAGACAAAGATAACACAAGTAAACACAAAATGCAGTTTTTAAATGAAGGTTTTTATTACTAAGGGGGAAAAAAAAAATATATATATACATATATATATACACATATACATATATATATATACATATATACATATACACATATACATATACACATATACACATATACATATACACATATACATACATATACACATATACATACATATACACATATACACATATACATATATATATACACATATACATATACACATATACATATACACATATATATACACATACATATATATATACACATACATATATATATACATACATATATATATACACATACATATACACATATACACATATACATATATATACACACATATACATATACACATATACACATATACATATACACATATACACATATACATATACACATATACATATATATATACATATACATATATACATATACACATATATATACATATACATATATATATACATATATACATATACACATATATATACATATACATATATATATACATATATACATATACACATATATATACATATACATATATATATACATATACATATATATATACATATATACATATACACATATATATACATATACATATATATATACATATATACATATACACATATATATACATATACATATATATATACATATATACATATACACATA